ACCCAAATTGTAATAACTACATAAACGGTTATGTGTTAATGTACTGCCAGTCTCTACACTTGCTCCTGYGTCAGTTGTGGCTGCTTTCCTGTTCATTCCACATTCATCAACTGAAGCTCTGAATCCAGGGCTCTTATGAGCCATTACTGCTGGAATTGAATTGGAACTTAAGGTTAAGCCTATATGTTGTTATTCTTTTCCCATATATTTTTATTGGTGCATTGTAATTCTATATAAAGGTGGGATTCATTATTACATATTCATATATGCATAGGATATAACAATGATTTGATCAGTGTCAATCCTCTGCATATTTTCCCTTTCCCTCTTCTTCCTTCCCCTTCCCTATTTTCTACTCCAGTTCTGATCTGTCTCAGATTTTTATGAGACCCACATCTTTTCTTTTACTTATTCCTCTTTAGCTTCCACATATGAGAAAAAAACATGACATTTGACTTTCTGAGTTTGGCTTGTTTAGTCTTTATGTACATCAGAGTTGTTCTTTGAAAGTATTTGTATTCATTCAGAATATAAATATGAAATTGTAGAAAATTTGATTACAATACCATCTCTAACATAATATTAGAGCAGTTGTTCTTACATCTTTTCTTCAAATGAAATATTACACAAATTTAGCATATAAAACAAGGAAATGCAGGAGCTTCATGGGTTGAAATGGGAGGTGTGGAATGGGTAGGTAGGTGCAAGTAAAATCCAATTAGAGTAGCACTATCTGCTTTACTTCTGTTCTCCTGCCTATAATAATCTAAAATACTTTTCTTTTGAAAATCCTGTTTAAGAATATTGCCCAAGTTAAAAAGCTTGATCAAATGGAAATAATACTTCCTAGGAATCAGGATGCCTGATCTTATACTTACTCTTTCTCCATTCAGCTATGGGAATATAAATCAATCACTTACTCAAGTCATCTTCTGTCTCTTGTCATTCATATGGAAGAGGTCATTTGACTTAGAGACTTCTACTATCTCAGCCTATTTCTGGTCTGTTATTTAGGATCAAAGAATTTGATTAGTATCATCAATAAAAAGACAAAGCCAATAAAATTGAGCAAAAGGCTTGAGCAGATAACTTTACCAAAGATGTCCAAGTGCTCAATAGCCACATTACTAGTCATAAGGGAAATCAAAATTAAAATTTCACAATGAGATAAAATTTCACATGCACTAGAATGACTATAATTAAAAATGCTGGCAATGCCAAATGTTAGGATATGGAGTAATTAAYTAGAGGTCTTACATTTTGCTAGTGTATATATAAAATGGGCACAGTGGAGAATTCTTAAAACATTCTCTTTTATGTGACCCAGCAGTCCCATTCCCAGTTATTTACCCAAAACATATATTCATAAAAATAAATGAAAACATATATCTATGAAATATTTGTATAAGAAGGTTCATAGCAACTTTATTCATAATACTCAAAAACAACTCAAGTATTCTATCAATAAAAACAACTCAAGTATTCTATCAATAGGTGAACAAAGAAATTGTTATATATTTTTATACAATGGAATAATAACAAAAGAAAGCAAATTACTATATGACATGAATGAATGTTAGAGATTATATTGAAAAAATCTAGGATAAAAAACTTTAAAATTAATAAAATCCAAAACCAATAAAGCTAATCTGTGATGATAGAAATCAGAAAGTGGTTGCTTCCGACAGAAAGGCTCATGACTGAAGAGGGGCACAGGAAACTTCTGGATTGATGGATATGTTTTTGGGGGGTTTGGATTACATGATTTATACAGTTATCAAAACTCATTGAAATGAACACATAGGGTTTATGCATCTTATTTTGTGCCAGTTGTACCTCAGTTTGAAGCATTAAGACAGTTGAATAATATGAAGTATAAGTTAAATTCTGAAGTTGGCTCTGTGTCATTCCTTAAGAAGGGGCAAAGGGAATACAGATCCCTTTCTGAGGCCGAAACAGTGGGAAGAGTTAAGGATGTTAATTGGGAAGAAAAACCAGGGTGGGCAAATATGTGCTAGGAATTTTAACTCACATTAGTTTTTCCATAAACATTAAAGGGATTTTCTGATGTTTTCTGTAATGTGCAAATTATATGTTAGAGCTAAATAAAATGTGATTTTACTTCTAGGTTTAGGCCACTAGTTAAGTATTTTGAGTTTATATTTCATCCATTATCTTATTTGATATGTATTTTATTTTCTGATCACCCAGAAGTTTTTCTGAATATATTTAGATTCTTAGTGGTTTTAGGAGTAAAATTTATTTTTGATGTGCTTATAAAACTGTATCCAACTTTTTTGTTGCCTAATTTTTGTAGGATTTGGAGGGAAAGTTTTTTTCTCGACTTATTCTTTTTTTAAAAATCAAGTTGGCATTTTTTATTGATTTTTTAAAAAATAAATAACAGTGGAATGCATTACAGTTCTTGTTACACATATAGAGCTCATTTTTTCATATCTCTGGTTGTATGTAAAGTATATTCACATCAATTCATGTCTTCATACATGTATTTTTTTGGATAATGATGTCCATTACATTCCACCATCCTTGCTAACTCCCTGCCGCCTCCTTTCCCCTTCCTTCTCTCTGCCCTATCTAGAGTTTGTCTATTCCTCCCATGCTCCCCCTCCTTATCCCTGCAAATGCCATAATTTTATTCTCTTTTATTGCTGAGTAAAATTCCATTGTGTATATATGCCACATTTTTTTTTTTTAATCCATGAGTGAAGGGCATCTAGGTTGGTTCCACAGTTTAACTATTGTGAATTGTGCTGCTATAAACATTGATGTGGCTGTGTCCCTGTAGTATGCTGTTTTTAAATCCTTTGGGTATAGACCCAGGAGAGGGATAGCTGGGTCAAATGGTGGTTCCATTCCCAGATTTACAAGAAATCTCCATACTGCTTTCCATATTGGCTGCACCAGTTTGCAGTCCTACCAGCAATGTATAGAGTGTACCTTTTCCCCACATCCTCTCCAACATTTATTGTTGTTTGTCTTCATAATAGCTGCCATTTTGACTGGAATGAGATGATATCTTAGAATAGTTTTGATTTGCATTTCTCTAATTGCTAGAGATGATGAACATTTTTTTGGTTATATTTGTTGATTGATTGTATATCCTCTTCTGAGAAGTGTCTGTTTAGGTCTTTGTCCCATTTATTGATTGGGTTATTTATTTATTTATTTATTTATTGGTGTTTAGCTTCTTCACTTATTCTATATGAATTAATACATGAGAATCAACATATAATTTTATATTTAATTTAGTTTCCCTAAAAATATGGGAATACACCAGTTGATTAGTGTTTAAGTTAAAGATTTACAGTAGCAGACTGTCAAATGCAGATATGCTAATGAGCATTGTGCTAGTAGCCAGCTATTTGTTTAGCTTCTTTTTGAGTCTTCTGAAAACATCTCTGTGTGCATATTTCATGAATAGGCTGCAATACCTACCTCTTGAATAGATGTAAACCTAAAACAAAAGTGGTTTCTCTTTGAAAACTATATTTCCCTATCTGCAGAAGTCTTCTCTTTTGATTTATGTTGTAGATGACCTCATTGGTAAAATTTAAAGAGCTAGGTGCATCATAGTATATGGCTAGTAAGGAACTGACTGATTTAGTACTTTTCAAAAATGCAGTTACAATATAGGAACATTGTTTCAGTATTTTAAACACTCCTGCATAGTGAATTCTTTAAAAAAAAAAAGAAAAAAATATTTGAAACCTGGAGTCATGCTACTTCAGAGGTGATGAAACAAAGTAATTCCTTATCCAGTTTCAAAATACTGAAAATATTTTGAACTGTATATGTTATATGTATTCATGTTTTTCTCAAGCTGCTTATTGATCTTTTTATAAAATTTAAAAGGTTATGAAAGTATTTTGAGTTTTACAATGCTAGAAGTTAAACCTGTATTTAACTGATTTTTATTTTTTCCATTTTTTCTTAACTAGGTCCTTTCTGATGTTGCTTGAGCTTATTCTTCTGCAGTTGATCTCATTCCTGTTGGCTAAACATTAAGTCCCCTGACAACATTAAGTTAATGCTCATGTGTTTTAGGCCTCATTTATAGTACCACGATAGTATTATAGAAAAGAAAAACTTTACATTTTAGATGACCTAATTCATTTTTTTCTATTTCTAGAAACATGATAACTTTTATAAATAGTCATTGTCACACTTTGGCTTATCTACACTAAAGAACATAGTTGAGTTTTTGGAAACTACAGGATTTGAAAATTTGGTCTTTAGTATACACATATAATTATTACAATTAATGAAGCAGGAAATTATTGGTGCATAAGATGGATATTTATTGTGTAACAATAATATTTCAATATAATTGTTTTTWAAATAATTTGGGTTAATTTTTGAATATTTTTCTATACTATAAGTTGATAATGGTTTCTTAAAAGTTTATTTTATCAACATGATTCATTTTACTATTTTGTGGTACCAGTAGGACTCTAATGTTAAATTGGTATGTTGAGTTTATAAATGTTTATATTAGCATTTAAATAATGAAATATTGGACAGTTAGTTTCTACCAAATGTTTCTGAAATCCAGAGGTAAATGTTTCTATTGGTTTGATGCCTAATACAGTTTCAAAAAAAGCAACTATGAATTTTCTGTTTTTTTTTTTATCTTTTCTTCATGAACTGCCCCTTAGTGTCAGAACAGGAGAAGAGAAATCAGAGGTTCTCTTTTTCTATGTTAAAAAAATTATATAAATAAAGACAAGGAGTACATTCTAGTAAGATCTCTGAAATGCACTGTGTCAGTGAAGGCAACATTAATACTGACTTGATAAAACTAAGGACTTGAATTGCAGTGAATATGGAAATAATCTTTACCACCAGTACAGTATCATCAGGATTTTAAAATGTTAGAACATTATGTTAAAATGTGATTATAATTTTAATGCTTTATCTCTTTGAATTAAATTTGTGTCCATAAAGATGTGCAGCATAATTGTTCATGTATTTATTTACAGACTACAATTTCCGTCGCAGCTCAATAAATAGTCTTTCCCCTGTTAGTGCTACCCTCTCTTCTGGGACTCCCAGCGTGCTTCCTTATACTTCAAGGCCTTATTCTTATCCAAGTTATCCCTTGTCACCAACAATATCTCTTGCTAATGGCAGCCATGTTGGACAACGACTATATATCTCCAATCAGGCCTCATTCTTCTGAAGAAAATCTGTAAACATTAGTATGAAAATTTCTTGTGAAAAGCATGCAAATTAAAATATTGTTTTATTTTAGAATCGGGTTTGCACATTTGGCTTCAAAAATGATATGTTTATGCTAACATAATAAACATCTGCTATAATTCAAAGAATAACATAGAGTTGCAAAATTTATAAAAATGGAAAGTTTAAAAAGTTATTCAGTGGTTTAGCAAGCTACTATTCTTTTTAAACTTTTGAGATTTTCTTAATTCCTTAGTGGGTAATAGATCCCAGTAATTTGTTAATTTTTTTTTGTATAACTTTGCAGTATAGCATTTCACAAATGTAAACCACTTGAAGACAATGTTATACTAGATTGATGACCAAGGATCTCTATCTGTATTGGAAATTGGAACACTTATATAACCAGAAGCATCTAGCTATTATGTAGAAAGAAATGATGAGGCAAAAAGATTAATATGCAAATTTTATGCAGTACTAAAGAAAAAGCAATCTAACATTGTGGTCCTTGAAAATAACTAAATATTTTAGTTAATAATTATTTGTTACAAAAATTGTAATTTTGCTGTTAATATATTTAAGGTTTTTATAGTTATGCTTCATTTGTGTTTTTGATATTTGCTGTATTGTTTGAATAAGAAGTGTTATGGTTTTTTAATGTTGAAATCATGTGTTGTTTAATTTTTGTACTTGAATTCAAACTTTGACATTAAATATGTGATGCTTCTCATACATGTGTTTTATTTTTTTTTTTTAAAGAGAGAGTGAGAGAGGAGAGAGAGAGAGAGAGAGAGAGAGAGAGAGAATTTTTAATATTTATTTTTTTTGTTCTCGGCGGACACAACATCTTTGTTGGTATGTGGTGCTGAGGATCGAACCCGGGCCGCACGCATGCCAGGCGAGCGCGCTACCGCTGAGCCACATCTCCAGCCCACATGTGTTTTATTTTAATTAGAATGCACATACACAAAAATTAGGTCTCACAATCATTGTGATCTTGGAGAACAGTTTTCCTTACTTGGTTATATATAGTTATAGGGTCATTGGTGCAGTGTCTTTATGAAACGAAATCATGGAATTATATAGGGAGAAAATTGTTAGCTTTGTGATACAGTAACAAAAACATTTTCAGGGGCAATAGAAATATTGTTTAGACTCACTGAAGTTTTTCCCATTTACTTAAAAATAATTCAGTGAATTCAGATCATTTTGACTATTCATTGGTTTAGTAATGTACATTCATAATGATTTATAATGACATTTTCATAATTGATGTCAATGATGAAAATCTTAGATATCAAACATTACCTTTGTTGATTAGCTCACTCCACCTGTACAGACCTAACATATGCATATAATTTGAAATGGTTGCAGATAACTTTTCTACCAACTTGAGTTTGTAATAGAAGGTATGTGAATAGTAAATTCGTCTTAATTCTCTAAAGGTGGTTTATTACACATAAGTCATACTTAACTTTTTTACAATTTAAATGAGCATGGGCACTAAATCAGCACTATTTTTTCCCTACACAGCTGTGTCTGAATTGCATAGATTTTGCTGTTTAATTGCCATATGTTCACAGTTGTGTATCACTCATTCAGCAGACATACGGTGTTCTATTTTTTTTGTTGGCTGGTGATAGCCTTGTCATACACAGGTGACTCAGGCTTTAAGACAGAAGAAAATCAGACACAATTAGTTTTTTATAAAAATGTTTGGAATGACCCAAATTACAAGTTTCCACATATATTTTTTTTTTTTTCATTTTGGAAAAAAAAATTTGAGCGAGCTTACCAACAACACCAAGTGTTTGGTGATCTGTGTTAAAACAGTGGAAAATGTGTAACTAAGCTTTGGTATCACATTGAATTACCACTTCTGCCATTAACAGCTCTTTGAACTTGGATTTTTTTTTTAAGTGTTGAGAATGGAACTTGCAGTCTGTGCAAATGCTCTACCACTGAGCCATACCCACAACCCCTGGCTTTGACAGTTCTTAATCTGTTTCATACCTTTCACCTTTGTAAAATTGTGATACATTCATTATGAAGTTAAAACATCTGGCAAGTGAAATATACTCAAATGATAGCTAATGTTTGGGTATAATTATATGAAGATGGTAGTACTCTTTTGCAGTCTTCTCATCACTTCACAGGAATATWGAAATCAGTATATTTGTGAAGCACTATTCCTTTTTGTGATGTTATGGATGAGCAATTAATCTTATATTGTATGAAATTTCATTTGATTTGTGAACATTAATTATTTGCTGCCTTAATGTTTATACAATAGATTATATAGGCCATTTCTCTAAATGAAGTCTTCCCTAGTAGTTGAACACAAGCTATTGATAAATCTTGGTCATGATATATCTCATTGGGCAGGGAAACGTTTCTAAAGACAGGTTATATCAGAATTTGTGTGCCACTTTTTGCAAAGAACTCTGGCTAATATGTGGGAGTGTGACCTATTATGGAGCCATGTACCATTTTGCTTAATGTCCCCTCTAAACAAAAAGGTATGCAGAAAGTTTAATTAACTTTATCTCTCTCCTTTGTTTTTATGTTAAAGTGGGAAAGGTTTCTGTAGCAACAACTCAAAATTTTAGAAACCATAATAGAAAAGATTGATAAATCCAACTTAAAAAGAAGAACCTAGCCGGGTATGGTGGTACACACCTGTAATCCCAGCAACTTGGGAGACTGAGGCAGGAGGATTGTGAATTCAAAGCCAGCCTCAGCAATTTAGAGAGGCCCTGTCTCTAAATAAAATTTAAAAATGGGCTGGGGATGTTGCTCAGTGGTTATGTGCCCCTGGGTTCAATTCCTGGTACAAACAAACAAAAAACACCAAACCAAACAACAACAACAAAAAAACAGCCCTGCATGGCAAGAAAGAACTATAAGTTGTTATTAAGTTACATCAAAAGAAAACTGGAGAAATACTTAGATTATTTCACAAAGGCCCAATCTCTAATTTTGAGGTACTGATGTGTTAAAAAATCAATAACTCAATGGAAAAATGGATAAAAAGTCTGACCAGACTGATGTCAGATGTCATATAAAGAGATACTTTATCATTAAAATAAATAAAAGTTTAGATAAAATTGAAAGTTCTATAAATTTTAGGTGAGTCTTTATTGTCATACATTGCCAATGCAATTATAAATTGCTTAGTTCACCTAGAGAATAACTTGACAGCTATTGATATTGCAAATACATCTTTGGATCCAGCAGTCATACTTTTTTGAGATATACTTGTGTGTGTGTAATGATATATGTGAGGCTATTCATCATTGGGGAACTGCTTTAGGAATACATTTATCAGTACACACTAAGACATGTACAAAAGTCAAAATTCTCTATTCCTGAAAGAGATAATGTTAAGCAAAAGACTGTTAAAAAAGGTACAGAAATGTATGTGTAATAATTCAGTATGCTATTTTTGGGTAAAGAAGAGGGAAAGAACAATTGTATATGCCTACAGTGCACATAAAACCCTGGAAGGATAAACAGAAAACAAGTATTCTCGACAGGAATAGATGAAGTCACCCTGCAGAAGTTCCTTTTATTTTTAGACAGTGCAGTGGTAAATAATTTCAACCAAAAAGACACAATTTTTCTTATAAACAAAATGGAAGATCTTTTTGTAAACAGTAATCCAAACAGAAACACATTAGGACAAGCTGCACTGATCTGTTTACTGAATATTCAGAAATTTTGAGTAGAACCCCAGGGTAAAATAAAACTCTCCAGGAGATTAACAATATACAAGCACTATATATACTTCACTAGTTTTGACTCATTGGGTCCAGTGGACTTGAAATGTATGTCACTAATTATCCTGTGTATGGGCATGAAGCATTTTCAACTTCTGATGAGAAAAATCGCTTTGAAGATCTCTAGGATTTGGAGCAAAGCCCTGATCTTTTAGTTTCCTTTTGAGAAGTAGTCCTTATTTAATGATTAGGCCTTAATAGAAACTGACTATAGGATACCAAATAAAGTGAGTTGCCCATCATGAATTGGATGTTACCAAATTCATGAGGCTGAGAATGTCTAACATCGAAAGGGTTTGTGGTGACAAATTTGAGGCTTCTTTCTGCCATAGCGCCAGACCTTAGTCTGTTGTATCATGGAGGGTTCCTAAGATCAGTTGTGCTCATTTTAGGAATAAGTCAAGGATATATTATCCTAAGGATAATAATGAAAGTTGCCATCATGTTCATTCATAAGAAGTAAAAAGAGCTATGGGTAAATGGCAGATCTCAGTGTCTCAGTGGAGATAAGGGAGCAGGTAGCAGGGGAGGGGAAGGAGAGGTAGTGGGGACTGAATTAGCACAAGATATGCTCCATATTTTTTTTGGTACCAGGGATTGAACCCAGGGCTGCTCAACCATTGAGCCACATCCCCAGCCCTTTTAAATATTTTATTTAGTGGTCTTGCTGTGTTGCTTAGGTGCTTGCTGAGTTTTTTTGCTGAGGCTGGCTTTGAATTTGTGATCCTCCTGTCTCCGTCTCCTAAGCTTCTGGGATTATGGGCATGTGCCACCTCTCCTGACCATTTTCATGCTTTTATAATTATGTCAAAATAGATTCCACTGTCATATGTAACTAAAAAGAACCAATAAAAAGGAAAGTTGCCAAAACCAAAAATCTCTACACATCCTATAGAAACTATACAAAGCTAAAACAAAAACAAACCATACATTACCCACCTCTTCAACATAACARGAGAACACTATAATTTTCAAATTACTTGTAAATAAATATATAAATACCAAATTCTAGCAGAGTAATTTTTTCTCAAGTTCTTGTATAAGCCTTTGTGGAGAATAAGGGCTCATGAGTCTGGAAAACTAGAAAACAGGAGAGGAGAGAGCCTAAGGTAAGCTAACAGAATATCCCTAGTGTGAAAACACTATAAAATTATCCTGATGTATACAAGAATTGACTAAAGGAAGAGGACTTAGAATTGTGTGGCTCTGAGAGGACAGTCTTGGAAAGATATCCCAGTTGGGAGAAAATAGTTAAAAAAAAAAAAAAAAGAACTGGGATATACCTTTTAGATGTGACTGGTGACGGGGTTAAAGAAGGGGGAGAGGATTCACAGTCCTGTAAGAGAAATAAGAACCAGAAAAAAATAAGGTGGATGACATCAGCAAGATGGTGGAACAGGATTTCCTAGACCTGCTAAATCCCAGGGAGACATGGATTTAAAAGACATGACCAAATTGAAGCCAGTAGGGAAATTGGTGGCATTATCAGCAGAGCCCCTATCTTTGGCATGGTTTGGTTGGATTGAGAGAAATACCCACTCCTGTATTTAATCTAGAGAGAAAAGAGTAAAACGTAGGTCCAACATTCTGACTTTTAGAGAACTTTACCAGAGGAGCCAGTTTCTATCTTGCTTGAATTCTATCACTGACAGAAATGGGATACTGATTTGCAGATCTTAGAATGAAGTACATTTGAGTCTGCAATAATACATACAAACACCAGAGGGAGCTCCTGTACTGTAGCCCACTACAGCCCCAGAGACACTGCAGCATCCCTTACAGACCTTGAATAGAAACTGGTAAACTTCTTGGATTAGGAGATTGCACACACAGGAAAGGATGCATCATCAGAAAAATCTTGAGAGGTGTCTGGAATTTCTAGGTGGGCTAAGTGGAGAAAGTCCTCTCTGAAACCAGATCACAAAATCTGGGAGTAGTGGCTGATTCTT